AATTTTTAAATGACTTAAATATTGATGATATTTACAATTTGAAATGCAAGCTAGTCGTAGATGCTTACTTGAATATACACGGGTATAACCACGTTCATATCATGAATATTCAAATTGTGTTGGTGAGTTTGCTTTTAGCTTGTCATGGATCCGAAAATTTACTGGAGCAGAACATCCATGAATATAACGTTTTTCTACGACGAATTTTCTTTGAAAAGTTTTATAACTCGCTTAAAAAAGCTTTGAACATTTGTCACGCCGTGTCATACATATTTCTACCGTATTGATAGGCTTTTGCACAACGAACAGTACAAGAATGTACTTCGAACGGTACTAAAGAAAGAAAACGAACTACAAAGAGAATGAATCGTACAGTGTCAAAATTCTGAGGTCAGTTTTTCAAGTAAATTTCTTCAAATAAAATTAAAACAACGGGTTTCTCATTCGTATTATGTATTTTAACAACAACAAAACACAAAATACACGGTCGCATTTAGTGAAAGAGCCAACCAACTATGCTCTTATTGTAGTTTAATCAAGTTTGAGTTACACATAGTGTTTGTTTTGCGATGTTTACAAGTAATTCACAGACCTGTCTATTTAAAATAGTCACATGGTGTTCATGTAATATAAATGATATACAATGCTGCTAGGAGCAGTAAACTTTGTTTTCATAAACATTGAATACTTAACTGAACAGTTAGTCAATTAGTCTTTGGTGTAAATATAAGAACTGAATATCTACCAACATTGCTTCACGATGTAGCGATTAACGTCCGGAATCAACTGTACGGCGGTTATGCACCGTGGTATAGAACCATTTAAACATGTAACAATAAACTGTTTTCAATTTCTCTTTGTATTCTCACAATTGCGTATTGGCTTATTTGTAACACCGACTTATAAGAAATTCAAGCATATTTAAGGTGACTCGACTGTTGCTCGAACTTCCTTTACTGTATAAGATTTATACACAATGGCATGATAAATATCAATTATCCAGTCATCCAAGCGTCGATTGTTTGTGCAAGGTGAAAACGTTTCCACTCATTCAATCGTAACATGAAGATCGTTTTGTGAATGCATCCATTAGAGCTATTTTCCTAACGCTTGTAGTTTAAAGGTTTGGTTGGCTTGCTTGCTTGCTTTGTTTGTATAAACGTTTGCTCAATCTTAATTACAATGCTTAGGCAACATTTACACAAGGCCAACCACACTTTTTAACTACAAGCATTAGGAAATTAGCTCTAATGACCTTTAATTTATTGGTCTGCGATGTAGATTTAGACCGAAACAGAAACTTTGCTTTTCCGGTGACGTGGTTTGGCTTAACTGTCCAAGATATATATATAAGATGATGACGTGTTATAGTCAAGAATAATTTTATCCTACATAGATCAGGACAAATTATTTGAGAAAATAGAATTGATAATATTGGCAATAAATACCATGTTTAAGGAATTTATTGATATATTACCTCAGACTTTCACTCATTAAGTATGCATATATAATCAATCCTTCTGACTTCATAAATTTTGTTAGAGAGTCGGCTGATTTAAGACTTTATATAATGAAAATTAATTTATTTATTTCTGTGAAAATGCATCGCATATACAATAGAAATGAATCGCCCTACAGTGAAAATGAAAGTCTAGTATCATTATTCGACAGTTAACATGAATCGCATAACGAAAACAGCATAGTGGAATTTGATTCAATATGATCAACAAGCTGAATAACAAAACCTGTTTTAAGTTAAACAACATTAATAATTATGTTAAAAGGTACATTTTTCTGCAAATGAAACTTAACTGCTACTTTTAAATCTCTTGCACGCTCTGTTCGTGAACTATTCTATATATTTATCTATTTGTGTATCAATTTTGCACCTGGATGGCTGTAGGCGCGATGAAAACCCGTCAGCATCTCATACCTATATCATGAATTTATAAAAACAGTACACATTATATATATTATTTCTTATTTTATTCAAAAATCTTGAATTTGTCGTCTGTTTATTTATCATTCTACACCAGAAATTCATCACGGATACAGTAAAAATGACATTTTAGGATTCGCACATTACATACACTGATGTTATTATTTTTTTTATTTCTACACCTTTTTGAGCAGCAGTAGTATGAATTGTACCGGTTGAATTTTAATCTTTTTAATTGCTGCTTACAGTTTATACTTTTTGACATAAAGAGAACTTCCTTCTTATAGAAAAAATCTTAGTAATCATTCGGGATATTTATGCGTGCTTGCTGAGATTTGTGTATGATTCCTGTATTTATTATCCTAGGCTGTCAGACTTGAGCGTTCCCAATGAAGTTAAATCCAGAAAAGCGCATCGGACGCATCAAAGGAGGAAGAACGAAAATAATAATTATTTGATACCTGAAATCGCAAAAATAGTAAAATTAATCAAACCTTATCAAATTATGTTATTTAAAAAATTTGATTCGACGAAAAGATCTCAAATTGAAGACTTTTAATATAAAAACAAGGAGAACAAATGTAAAGCTAAATTCAAAAATGTAAATATTGTTAGACCATGGTCTTATGAATATCTGAAAGATCTTATTTGAGGATTTTAATTCGAATTCAATGGACAAAAGAGTGGCCTTATCATACCTTCTCATTTTGAAGTGTTATTTTCTTTATCAACTAATCCTTTGAATAGTTTCAATAAAGCAATGATCATACAGTTATCAGTTTGCTTTGTCCACTTATGGCGTTTGCTGCAAAGAGATACCCATTGTCTGCAGTACATGTCTCGTTTTCATAAGCAACTTTCTGCTTGAAACACATTTCAATTCGTATCCTTACCTTGCATCGGTTCATGAATAGATGTGCTTAGGATTTTGTGACAAGTCTGAATTCCTGTGTTTAAATCTAATTCAGTTTTAAAGTTAGGCGACATTAGTTCACCGATGTTTAAAGCTCGTAAATCGACTAGAGAGAGACAAATCAAGGTAACAAACAAAATCAGAGGGAATCGCATAAACTCCAAAAGGAGCGAGACCGAGTGAGTCGACAGGGCAAGCGTCTCCTGCTTTGCATGCATTATCCGCTATGCAAATTCACACTAGTCAAAAATGTCATTTAAAAACAGTGCTACATTTGATACAAAAGCTTTTCTTCTGGCATCAGTTTTTAGTTTTATTGCGTTTTCTTTTTCATTCATTGCTGTCAAATCTACGATACAATACTTTTTGGGATAGCAAAGACAAGGCTATATATGGCTAATGGCTATATAGGGCTTTCCCTAATATTTACATACATTTCCTGTCTTTAATACATACCGTATAACTGCTTTTTGGCAACATTCGTAACTACAATGTCCAACACTGAATGAAATTTCGGAATTTGACTATCTAGCTAGATATTCCAACCATTCAGAACAAACATGCAGACACATTAAAATAATTGAGTTTCAGAAGTAGACAGTGGTATACGAGAATCAGTTTTTTGACCTTGACATTCAAACCCTGTACTGTTTAGAGGTTTAGTATCGTTTAACTTGTGTAAGACGAAAATGAAGTCCGAAATTAACATCAGGTACTACTCAGGATACGTTAGCCGTCGTACGGAGGATTACAGATTCTAGAGGATCTTTGTTGTTTTCCTTCATGTTCTGTAAAATCTAGAAGATCTTTGTTATATTTTTTTTATTCTAAGTAGATTCTAAAGGTGTTTTTTGTTATATTCCTCTATTCTCTCTAGATTCAAGAGGATTTTTGTTACATTCCCCTTCGCTGTGAAGATTAGAGAATGTTTGTGATATGCCTTCGTAGATTCTAACAGATCTTTGATATAGTCATTCATGCTATGACGGAATATAGCAACGGTCCTCTAGAATTTAATGTATTCTATAGAGAATGTTTTTTTATATTTCGTAATGCCCTGTAAATTTTAAATTATCTTTCTTATATTCCTCCATGTTTTGTAGATTCTAAATTATCTTTCTTATATTCCTTAATGCTTTGTAGCTTCTAAATGACCTTTCTTATATTCCTTCATGTTCCCTAGATTCTAGTGAACCGTTGTTGTAATCTTTTACCCACTGTAGATTTTTGTTATATTCCTTCATGCTCTGTATATTCTAGAGTATCTATGTTTTTTTACATTATGTTCTGTAGATTCTAAAGGATCTTTCTTGCATTACTTCATCCTCTGTAGATTCTAAAGGATTTTTGTTAATACTTCATGCTCTGATAATACTAGAGAATCTTTGATATATTCATTCATGTTCTGTAGATTTTAAATGATCTTGGTTAAATTCATATATGCATTATAGATTCTGGAAGATCTTTGTTATATTTCTTCATGCCGTGTAGATTTTAAAGGACTTTTGTTATATTCCGCCATGCTCTAGATTTTAGAGGATTTTTGTTATATAACTCCATGCTCTAGATTTAAGAGGATTTTTTTTATATTCCTCCATGCTCTGTAGATTTTAGAGGATTTTTGTTACATTCATTCATACTCTGTATATTCTAAGTGAATTTCTATATTCTTTCATACTCCGTAGATTCTAAAAGATCTTGGTTATTTTCTTTTATACAATGAATCGTCAAACTTGCGTCTTTATTTATATATTTTTACAACATGCACTTTAAAAAGAAACTTTGTAAAACACAAATGTTCATTAAAAATTAACATATCTTTAAAATGCCATGCCAAAAAAATACTTAAAGGATAAAATATGATAGATAAAAAGAGGAAAAATGAAAAATGAATGGCATTGTTTTACCTATATCATCCCTTAGTTTGTTTCAGTATAGAATATAAAAAAAATCTTTTTGTTTAGAAAAAGGACCACACCACATCGTTGAATGATTCTTTTTTCAATTTTGATTTTGATGGATATTTAAAATTTTCAGTAGAATGAATTTGTCGATGTTCAAACAGTGTTTATTGTCATTATAAATTGACATCATTTATAATTAATACCGTCATTCGAGATGTCACTGTGGAAACAAGTATAACAACTTTACCTGGATTTCCTGGGATTATATCTACCACAATAAGTTTAGCCATCCTCAATCGAACTTTGATACTGATGGATATAACATAACAGTGAATGAATTGTCCAATATTTGTAAGTATATATACTTTTAATTAACAAATGCAATGTTTACATTGAAACCATTGATCTTTTTTTCATTATTGTCTCTTTTTCAATGTTTTTCCACAGAAATCTGACAATTTCCCAAGTATATTGATATAAAAATATAGTATACTTCTACATTTTTCCTTGTACTTGTAATTTATCGAAGTAGACAATTGCACAGAATTGCCAGAATAATTATTTGACCTTTTCCTCATTTCACATCTTAGGGACGTAAATTTTATAAATCTATTGTAAATTGAAATATTCATTAGAACTTGGCTGTCTAAAAATTCAACTTTTTGACTTGGCGCATTTTAAACCTTTTTGAATCGAGCGTCACTGGTGAGTCTTTTGTAGACGAAACACGCGTCTGGCGTACACAATTTTGAGCCAGGAAACTATGAAGAGTTTATTTATAGTTTTTAAAGTTTTATAGTTGCAAAATAAGTCCAAATATCCGTAAACGGATTGAATACTATTTTTCTGAAAACTATATGTAATTTTTATTAATATTATAGTTTTGTAATAATCAGTTTTAAAATTAGTGCCGGTCTTGTCTTTTCCCTTACCTTAACCTTAAGCTACTGTAAATACACTGTGCAAAAGACAACGAATTTTGTTTTTGCCCTAACTCGAAACGTATTTCATACACTGCTGCAGAAAGGGCTTCAACCAAAGCAACTTATTTATTAGATCAAAGTAAGTAAGACGGGTTTTATTCAGCATTGAACAATACTACGAGTACTGAAGTTTATTGTCCCATTATACATTCAACATTTGTTATGAATTGTGCATTTCATGCATGATTCCTGTACAGTATTTGATGACTGATGATGGATACGAAGCAATATATGCACACACTTTAATCGGTTGTTCTGATGAGTGTTTTGTCTTTGCTATATTATGTTGTTGTTTTTCGTTTTGTTTTTGTAAACCCGTTTTTGTATTATTCGGCGTATGACTTCTTTCCTTTATTATATACCTGTGTACTATTTTGACTACTAAATTGAATGTTAAATGTATAAAGCAATCCTAATTATTTAATCTTAAATATAAATTGTCCAACTACGGAAAGGAAGATGGTACTGACTTGGATGTGATATGTGCATATTTTGTTATGATCAATATAATGTACGCATATATTCATATATTTTGGTGGGAAGTTGTCTTATTGGCAATCAAACAATATCTTCTAATTTTTCTTTTTCTTGTAACAGTAACATAATACACATTATATGCATGCATGACTCTGAATTTAGCTAAAAGTTATGAGCAGCACTACTATAAAGCATTAAATGAGTAACATAACATATCAAAGCAAATTAAGCAATGATTTTAAAAACGGTAATGCAAATTAAACAAAATACGAGTGAAAGTATAATATAAGCATCCCTTATATATGCCTCAAGCTGTGACATAAAACATAAAAACTCAATGAAGCACGTGTATTACAATGACATGAGTTGCCATATCATGAGTTTATTGGCATTTTGAATTGAGTAAAAGATGTTTAAGTTATAAAATTATTTGGCAACTAATTTTCTATTTTGGCTGCAGAATATCTGAAGTATTACAGACCATACCTTGTAGTTCTAACTATAGGCATTTCAGTTAAATTGTGATAAATGAAATAATATTTTGTTTCATTAATGATTATTACTAGTAATCTATGTAGGTATACTGATATTCTATTGAAATATACTTAACAACTCAAGTAACGCACCACATCTTACCATATATATAAAGTATCACAATTTCTTTTTTTTTGCTACAAATTTGTAGAAATCTATTATTTTTTAAGTATTACCTTGAAATAAATGCAGAGTTTACACAGAAATTTCATTTTAACATTGAAATATCCATTGTCATTGATTTTAATCGCAAAAGTAAAAAAAAATCAAAGGTCAAAATTCATTCGATGAATAAACTGATAATCATAGTCATTTTCTTTGTTTTTAGGTGAAAAGATCACAAATTTGGCAACATATTTTTGTTGTTTTATTTGGTTACAAATTTGTTTTTTTTTTAAATGGCATAAATTGAAATTAAGAAAGTTCTCATTTTCAAAGAATTTGATGTTTAGACTTCAGAAATGTTGTTCTAACATTTGGACCTATTTCAATCATTTAATTTTTATATGCAATAGAAATTTTTACCCCGAAGAAATTAATGGAGGTGATGCGTTTCTTTAGTTGTTGGATATACTTCAAAGGCGATCTACTTTAAGAGAAAGCATTTTTTTTAACTAATAGTAAATCATCATACGTGCTGTTGTAGTCATGGTAAATGAAAAGGAATCTTTCTTGGTTTTTTCAATTCTTAATAGTTTATTGCTCGGTGTAGAAATGCAAGGATAGTGAGCAGAAATTAAAGCTAGACATAATGAAATAGCGGTATAGTCTTAATTTTCGAAGTTTGTTAAAATTATTTGCTAAGTATTTTTGAAACATTAAGCTGTTTTATAGTTTAACCGAAATAAAAACAATGTTAAGTAACTTTAAGATTTGTACCTAATTCGCTTTATTCTCTTTTATTGTCAAGTTCCTTTCATGTATCAGTGACCTGGAAATACGGTGACCCATTAATTAATATTTGGCCACTACATTTATATATATAGCACGAAAATTACTAGTTTCCCTATCGGGAGTCCAGCTTACATGGAAAATGTTCCAAGTGCAACGTATACGATATCAAGTATAAATGCTTTAGCTTAACACCTATATCATATAATGTCTGCTATAGTTCTGGAAATCTGTAATAATTGTAAACTACGAGACACTTGAACCTAACTACAACACTTTACACGGGCTTAGACATGTTACAACGGGTTTTCCTTGGTAACCTTATCATGGATTTAACTATTAGATATGTATCAGCAAATTCAAATTGAGCATTTTCCTTTGATCCGAAAATGAATAAATTACTTTCCAACCGAAAACTGTCACAAACAGACACACCACGGAAATGTGACATTAGAAAGATTAACTTAAAGTTATTTGCTTTCATTTTAATTAAGAATCATTCCAACAAAACATGCATATCACGATCAAACATTGTAAATAACTTCCTGAAATCACTTGCATGCGTCAATAATGTCATCAAATTGTCTCAAATCTTCTTTTTAAATTAGCTTTAAATGATTGTGTTAATAACAACACCACACGTTTTCCTGTGTCATATAACACTTCGCTGTAGTTAGGTGTATTAGAAGATATTTTGTAAAGGTGCCATGATGTCTGTTGATGAGTTCTATCATTTCAACAATTCAAGAAACGAAATGTTTAATGAAGTTCGCAAAAGAAGTATGAATTCTAGTTCTTTTGATGTGAACTTTAGCTTGAACTGGATCTTTTACAAATAAACGGCCATGTTAGCGTTCAAGGAAAATATCACGTAGTTTTTTAACTAATATTTTGTTAAATTAGAAATATCATTTGAAATTTACATAATAAGAAATGCAAACGAATTTATAAATGTTGCTCATGTATAGGAGGCGAGAGAGTTACTGTCTCTCCTTCGCACCTCTTTTTATGTGATTGATTTAATATCATTTTTTTTCCATTATGTTTTTTATGTGTGTGATTTTCTATAATATAATATAATATATGATATCCTTTTGTCTGGTATCATTATGTATAATATGCTCGGGTTTTTAGCTATTTACGAAAACATTAACTGTACCAATTTTTTCTGTACCAGATGCGCATTTCGACAATAAATGTCATTTCAGTGATGCTTAAGGCTTACATTTTTCTGCACCAGATGCGCATTTTGACAATACATGTCTTTTCAGTGATGTTCAAGACCAAACTATTTGTAAAATCTAAAAGAATAGCATTATAATGTTAATTAATCCGTTTATTCATCATAAGATGATAGTTCATATGTTAAAAAAGTAATTCAAGGCAAACAAACATAGTTGTGTTATATTCAATACTTACAACAGAATTAAAAGTGTAAATAATATGTTAACATATAAAAAAAAAAGTAAACTGTGCTGTTTTTTTTTTATTTTCACAGACATTTGTTGCAGTTACAGCTAACATAACCTTACATACTAGATTTTTCCTGATTACGTTACGGAATCACAATCAGACAGTACTAAAACTTAATGAGTTTCAAATGTATTGCGGTTCCAGTGACAAATTCAATCTGCTTCTTTCAATAAATTTATTTACAAATGTAGGAAAATTAAATCAATAGCAAAGTTTACTTAATTATGGTGCTTGGCCCTTAGTTGGTATCTGGGTTAAAATGAAAATAATAGATTAAGAGCTCTGATTTAATCCTTGTCCATTAATACGTTTTGTATGTTGAAACAATACATTCTTCAAGAGAGAAGTACAATGCACCTTCAATCATGTTAATATTGAAAAGGAAAATTGTCAAGGCAACAACATTGAGTCACTACTAGTTTTTTTTCTGGTAATTGATAAAAGGTTGAAAAAACTGGTACACAACATACAAATGCATTAATATGTTTGCTTTTGTGTGTCTATATCAATATGTACAAGGTCCATTACCAGTTTGATACTGGATTCAAATATCCTATTTACAAATCAGTCAACAAATGAATATTATTCATAAAATGGTATCAATGAGCTTAAAAATATACTTCTTAAATAAAACATCTGTAACTATTCTACTTCAAATATATATACAACAGATGCAAATTTGTACCATTGCAAATTTGTACTCGGTCAGGAACAAACTTGTCTTTTTGGTGCAGTTGTGTACCCTTCTACAACACTTGTTCAATACGGTACAACTCGTAAAGCTACTGTAACAACTTGTAAAAGTCTGTAAGTTCCTAAACAGGCACTTGTTCTTTATAACACTTCAATGAAATAGTATATCAGAGACTACGGTCTCAAATATCCACGTACCGTTACTACAGGTCTTCGTCTTTATAGACTTAAAACAAATGACAATAAGCAAGAAATTGCGCTTGCTTACATACAACCATGATAGCTAACCATTCTTGAAGG